TTCACTTTTTCCAAACGGGGACTTAAAAAAAAAAAGCTGTAATTTATAGAGTTTGAAGTCAACTAGCAGGAGCGTCGTGTTCACCTGCCGGATGGAATGAGACCTCAGGGTAGAGACAGAAGCTCACTTCCAGCTGCCCTGCAAGGAAGACGTCTGCCTGTCACAGGTCCCAAAGTCCCTGTTCTTGTCTGTTCTTCTGTCTCTCTGTATTAACTATAGTTTCATCTCTTTTTTTGAGATAAGGTCTTGCTCTGTTGCCCAGGCTGAAGCGCGATGGTGCAAGCATGGTTCACTGCAGCCTTGACCTCCTGGGCTCAAGGGATCATCCTGACTCAGCCTCCTGAGTTGCTGGAGCTACAGGCATAGGCCACCGTGCTCTGCTAAGTTTTTAATTTTTTTTTATAGATAAGGGGGCTCACTCTGTTGCCCAGGTTGGTCTTAAATTCCTGGGCTTAAGCAATCCTCCCACCTCAGCCTCCCAAAGTACTCAGATTATAAGCATGAGCCACCACACCCAGTCTATTTTCCAATTTCTATATCCTTGGTGTTTCACCTCTGGGGCCTCTCTGACCAGGAGAGACTGCCCCTCCCAGGGTTAGCTAGTTCCTAGAAATAGCAAGGGGCTTACCCAGGAGTGTATCTCTCATATGCAAACCAACCAATCAGAACCCATCCCCATCCCCCAAACCATCACCTTCATCAGATTCTCAAGGCCTCTCACACTCTGGGCAGGTATTCCCCTCCTCCAATCACCCCAGGCCCAGGTATCAGACATGTAAAGATAGTCCTGGGCCTGCTGAAAGTATTCCAACTAGCCAGTCTGAATCCTGCTTACCCTGCCTCTCAGTCCTTCCTGCAAAAACCATCAAAAAGTCTCTCTCACCCATGGTTCTTTCTGCCACACTCCGTCTGCCTCCTGACTGACCCAGTGCTTCACCACATGGCCCCGCCTGGTGCAGTGTGCCCCCTTCTCTTGGGACCTGTGAGTAAAACACCACCTTTCAATGGTGGTTGTATCCTGAACTGTTGGCCTCGCCAGACCTGAATAATAATGAAACCTACATTTTCACACACCGTCAGGTGGCTGTGTTCACTGAGAATTGGAATGCAGAGCAGGAAGCCTCATTTAATGAAGGCATCTTCTAGGCTCAGCTGTTTCACAGGCATTACTTCTGCCTTCAAACAAGGGAAGGTCACAGGACGCGCCAAGCCAAGACTCAAATCGGTGGCATCTGGCCCCACCCCTTACCCTGCACCCAGCCCCAAGCTCCAATCTGGAGGTCTCCAGCCTTTGTTATTTTCACATTCCCCCCCAGGTTCCTCTTCTTTGCTATTTCCCCCATTCCCAACACATCAAATGCCATCGCCACACCCTCTCATCCTAGCCCAGTGCGGGGACCCCTGTTCCAAACTCCCATAAAAGCCCTCCCGAACCAGCATTTGCACCCCCACCATCTCCCTGTGCAGCATCTCCTAGACCACAGCCTCCATAGGCACAGGAGCCATGGCGGTCTCGCTAACCTATGTCATGACATGGACATCCCAACACACGGCCTGGTACATGGTATCTCATAAATGTTCGTTGAATCAGTCAATCCATCAGTCTATGCCCCTTCCTTTCTTTATCAATACCCAATTCTAAACACTTCTTTCTGGACTCCTTTTCCTGATCTCTGTTCTGATCATCCACCTCATTCATCTCTCCTGTGTGACATATGGTGGCCTGATCATGTCTCAGGCTTATACCTGATCTTCTGGACCAGGGACATCAGTTCCCCTGCGGCTGGGACTGTCTTCTGCTCCCAGTGATCCTCCCACCTCCCCACACCGCAAGGCTGGTTCTGGCACATCCAGTACCCAGGAGCTTTTCAAATGGAAATGCTGATTGTTTGACTTGAAGGGTTTCAGCTGGAGCCACAGAGAGAGGGCTCTGGGCTACAATGGAGCCTTTATCACATGGGAAGCTGCAGTCAGAGGGGCAGAGAACTTTCTAAGCTGGTGGCATCTGAGAGGACAATGAGAGGTCCCATCTCACCGAGGGAGCATTTCAGACATCTCCCCTTCTCCAAGGTACAGCTACCCCTACCAATGGAATGGTAGCAACTGGCGGACCCCTCATCAACCTCAACAAAGCATTTTTCACCCCTGGAAAAACATTTGGATTACCCTGAATACCTCATTCTCTAGTTTCTAGATGAAGACAATGGTCTGTGCAGCCGGAAACATTATAAATCAGGACTTCTCACTCTCAACCCATTGGCACTATCTGTCTTAGCCTCAGTTTCCTCACCTGTAAAACAGGAGCAATGATAATAACCACCTCTCCAGATTACTGGGAAAATTAAATGACTTTACTTATACAAAGCACCCAGGACTTCATTTCCATTCTGTTACCCACCTTGATTATGTAGAGAGGAACTGCTCACCCACCACCCAAGAATGAACAGGAATTTTCAGCAGACAAGTAGGAAAGCTAACTTATGTTTTATTCCTAGACCCTCTGAAAGCTCCTGAGATGACAGTTTCAAATGGAGGTTTCCGGGGACCCACCCCAACCCACCAAATCAGGACATCTAGGAGGCAGAGCTTAGAAATCTGCATCTCCGGCTGGACGCTGTGGCTCACGGTAATCCCAGCACTTTGGGAGACCAAGGCAGGTGGATGACCTGAGGTCAGGAGTTCAAAACCAGCCTGACCAATATGGTGAAACCCCACTGGTACTAAAAATACAAAAATTGGCCAGGCGTGGTGGCATGCACCTGTAGTCCCAGCTACTCAGGAGGCTGAGACAGGAGAATTGCTTGAACCCGGGAGGTGGAGGTTGCAGTGAGTCAAGATCATGCGACTGTACTCCAGTCTGGACAACAGAGTGAGACTCCACTAAAAAAAAAAAAAGAAAGCAACAAAGAAACAAAGAGAGGAAATAAGGAAAGAAGAAAGAAAGAGAGAGAGAGAGAGAGAGAGAGAAAGAAGGAAGGAAGGAAGAGGGAAAGAAAGAAAGAGAAAGAAAGAAAGGAAGCAGGCAAGCAGAGCGGAGGGGAGGGAAGGGGAGGGGAGAGCTGCATCTCTAGCAAGCACCCCTCATAAACCTTGTGCACGTTCCATTGATAGGCACTCTTTTGACCAGAATGGAAAGAAAGGGAATCCAGGGGACCCTTCTTGCCAGCCACCAGTGCAACAGGCTGAGGACACCTGACTTCCTAAGAGGTCACACCTGTTGGATGAAGTCAAGTCTGTAAAACTCTGGACTCCACAAACAAGGATTTATATCCTCATTTACAAGCCAGTTGACATAATCTTGGAGGTCCAGTTGCTCCTGCTGTCAAATGAGGGTAACAATTGTGTCTCTCCCCAAAGGGGCTGTAAGCATGACATAAGATGAGATGGGCTTCATCCCGAGTGTCCAGCCCAATCCATTCCATGTAAAGACAGTCCCTGCTGACCATTGTCCCAAATTGTGCAGCGCCCCACATAGACTTAGGATCCTCAGCTGAGCCAGCTACAGACTCTGTCCCCAAGGACTTGGAATCCAGCAGGAGGCCAGATCTTGTACACAATGCACTTCACGAAGCAGCATCTGTGGCCAAGGCTAAAAGAGGAGCCTCTGAGAATAAGAGACCCAAAGGAGGAAACGAGGATCTTGGATGGATGGAGGCACTAGGGAGGCACACAGTCTTTCGCCCCACTCCAATGGGCCGGAGGGGTGTCTACTAGCCTTGCCAGCCAAGAAGTCACCCTGAGCCTGGGGTTTCTAGGCAGTGATCAGGAGGTGAATTTGGAAGGGTAAACCGAGGCCGGGCTGTGAATACCGGCATAGGGAGTCAGGATTGTCTCCTAGAGTCAAAGCCTTCAGAGCCAAATTCTCCCATGCATGCATTTCCTGTGGCCCACAGAGTGGTTTTCATTTTCATTTTCCAATCAGATGCCAACATATACAAATTGAGAGTGATGATGTCACTACTGGGATTCTAAGCTTCTCTGCAACCGTGGGAGGGGAGGCAGTGCCGAGCCACCTGGCCTGATACCATCGGCTAGGGTGGAGTGGACAGGGGTCCTCACTTGTTCACTTTACCTGACCTGCCCCGAGGCAGCAAGAGTTTGGGACCCCTGAACAGGACCTTGGGGACCCTTTGAGGACCTTGGACAGTGGAGGGTTAGAATTAGGTTTGTGATTTGGAAGGTCCTGCTGATGACCATTGATACTAGCGACAATGGTGCCGATGATGAGGAAGAAGAGGAGGGAGAAGGGGAGAATGGTTTATATTGACAAAGCTTTCACAGTGGGGGGCTCTGCCCCAGCGTTTATTTCCGTAGCCCATTTGGTTCTTACCACACCCCGATGAGGCACATATGCTGTCATCTCCCTTTTTCAGATGACGCAGAGCAGTAGGGCCACTTTCATAAGGTCATACAGTTGGTAAGTAGCAGAGCCAGGTAATCTGGGTCCAGGACTCACAGCACTGGTGATGGGGGAGTGGAGACGGTGACGGGGGTTAAGAGAAGTGAGTCTTCCCTCAGTCTTTCACCGTAGATTGTCTGCTTTTAAAAGATAAGATGTGTCCACATCTAACCCCGATCTGAGGACTAATGCCACGTCTTTCCCCGTTGTTCTCAGAAAGGCTGGTTTCTCTTAATAAACTTGTCAGGCAGGGAAGGAGGGCAGAGGCACTCACAGGCCGGGTCAGGTGGCTTGGCTGCGGGCCCTGGCTCCAGTCTCCACTGCCGTGTTCCCCGCTTGGCCAGCAAAAGCTGACCCCACTGCAAGGACCAGCAGACCCCACAAGAATGACCCCGTCCAGGCCTACTGGAGCTCCACTTGCTCATGACTCACCACACCCAAGCCTTGGAGATAGATTTGCAAAAGAGAAAATAAAGCACACACACAAACAACCAGCCCCGTGCATTTCCTGGCATCGGGTGACTGTTTGGTTGAGAGCTTCCTCCTTCTTTGTGTGTCTACTGAATACTCCCACCCTCCCCTAGCTGCTGTCACAACGCTGGCTCAGGTAGCCGATCACAAGCTCAGCCCCGGGCAGACGCCCGACCCCCACCACCAGGGAAGGATTGGAGGAGGCCAGCCGAGGATCTACCAGCTCGGGGCCCCAGCGGCCACCCTCTGCAGCTCAAAGTCACCTTTGCTCTGACTCCTCTCCTTGGCTAGCTAGCCAGAGCCAGCCCAGAACTCCCTCCCCTCTGCTGGGCAGGACCCAGAAACCGGTCCCTACTGGGCAATTATTAATCAGATTCTTGGCATTCCTCAGCCCCAGGTTGGCTGGAGAAGCATGTTCCCCAGAGGAGCAGGGGTCCAGGACTGGCATTTGGATATGCAGCTGATGGGCAAGGTGGTGCTGTCGGCTGCTGCCCTGCTCCTGGTGACTGTGGCCTACAGGCTGTACAAGTCGAGACCTGCCCCAGCCCAGCAGTGGGGTGGGAATGCCCAGGCAGAAGCCAAGGAGGAAGCAGAGGGCTCAGAGCAGCCTGCTGTCCAGGGGGCTTCTCCTGGGGCACTGCAGAGGGGGCCAAGACGCCGGAGGAGCAGCAAGGGGGCCGAAGTACCACAGGGCTGCAGCTGGGAGAATCCAAGAGGCTCCTGCATCCTGGTCACAGGGGCCACGTCTACAGACAGGAAGCTCCAGAGAAAAGTCTCCGGTGAGGAGTGGGGAGGGCAGGGCTCTGACTCTGAGCAGGTGCCTCCTTGCTGCCATGGCCAGTTAGCCAGAACTGCTGTTGGCGGTAATCCTGACCCTCCCCATCGCCCCTGCTTGGGCAGTGAACCGAACAGCTTCCCGGCTGGACTCACTGCAGCAGCCCACGGCAGCTGTGCGTGTGGTGAGCCTGCTCCATGGCAGGACAGCGAACCCCCTGAGCAGCCAGGGCCAGGGCAACTGGAACCTCCCCACTGTCACCACGTTGCTCCCTTGCAAGGCAGCCGTGAAATGAACCAGAGCTGGGTCTTCACTCGTGTGATGGGGGTCAGCAGAGAAGAGGCTGGGGCTTTCCAGGCTGAGTCCGATGTTGACCTGACCCTGCGTCAGCCGGAAGGAGCCCCCAACGCCTCCTATACCTTCTCGTCCATAGCCCGTGTCCGAATGGAGGAGAATTTCATACAGAAGGTGGATGGGGTCGGGCCCAGGCTCAAGGGCAAGGTGTATGACTACTACGTGGAATCGACTTCTCAGACCCTCTTACAGGGCAGCTTGGCTCCCAGGACAGCAGTCCTGACTGAAGTTCCATCCCTTATGCCACCGCCATCATCCCAGGGAACAGGGGCAGCCTCGGGAGGCCAAGCCGGTGACACAAAGGGTGCCGCGGAAAGAGCCGCCTCCCGGCAGCCAGGGCCGTCATCCTCCACCAGAGGCTTCAGCCGGAAGGAGAGCCTCCTGCAGATAGCAGAGAACCCAGAGCTGCAGCTGCAGCCGGACGGTTCCCAGCTCCCTGCTCCCCACTGCCCAGACCTGGGCGGCGCCCTGCCTGGCTCAGGCAGAAGCAGCTGGGAGCCCCTTGTGCAGCTGGTGGCCGGGACCAATTTCTTCCACTTCCCGCTCAACCCTGCTCCAGCCCCAAAGGTCCACCTGGATCTGGGCAATTGCTATGAGGTGCTGACCTTGGCCAAGAGGCAGAACCTGGAGGCCCTGAAGGAGGCGGCCTACAAGGTGATGAGTGACAACTACCTCCAGGTACTGCGCAGCCCGGACATCCACGGGGGCCTGAGCGGGGCAGAGCGGGAGCTGATCCTGCAGCGCCGGCTCCGGGGCCGCCAGTACCTGGTGGTGGCTGATGTGTGCCCCAAAGAAGACTGCGGCGGCCTGTGTTGCTATGACGACGAGCGGGACGCCTGGCACCCGCTGGCTCGCCTGCCCCCCGAGGCCGTGTCCCGGGGCTGTGCCATCTGCAGCCTCTTCAATTATCTCTTCTTGGTGTCAGGCTGTCAGGGGCCCGGGCACCAGCCCTCCAGCCGCGTCTTCTGCTACAACCCACTCACGGGGATATGGAGCGAGGTGTGCCCGCTGAACCAGGCCCGGCCGCACTGCCGGCTGGTGGCCCTGGACGGGCACCTGTACGCCATCGGCGGGGAGTGTCTGAACACGGTGGAGCGTTACGACCCCCGCCTGGACCGCTGGGACTTTGCCCCGCCGCTCCCCAACGACACGTTCGCCCTGGCGCACACGGCCACGGCGTGCGCCCGGGAGATCTTCGTGACCGGCGGCTCGCTGCGCTTCCTGCTGCTCCGCTTCTCGGCGCAGGAGCAGCGCTGGTGGGCCGGCCCCACCGGGGGCAGCAGGGAGCGCACGGCCGAGATGGTGGCGGTCAACGGCTTCCTCTACCGCTTCGACCTCCACCGCAGCCTGGGTATCGGCGTGTACCGCTGCAGCGTCAGCACCCGGCTCTGGTACGAGTGCGCCACGTACCGGACGCCTTACCCGGACGCGTTCCAGTGCGCCGTGGTGGACAACCTCATCTACTGCGTGGGGCGCCGGCGCACCCTCTGCTTCCTGGCAGACTCTGTCTCGCCCAGGTTTGTGCCCAAGGAGCTACAGAGCTTCCCGACCCCGCAGGGCACTCTCCTGCCCACCGTCCTGACCTTGCCCACCCCCGATTTGCCTCAGACCAGAGTCTACAGTCCCTCAACTGGGCTCCTCATGCAAAGCTGGGGGCCGTAGGCCTACACTGCCAGCCATCCCTCTGGGGGCCATTTCCAGACAATCAGGCAGCCCAGGAATGTGGTATAAAGAGGGGAATTCCAGTCCTTTCTCCTCCCCTGGCAAGGGGGAGAGGGGTCTTAGATGAGTCTTATCCTTCATGGCTGCGGAGTCCCCACTGCAGACAAGGCGGCCAGGAGCTGGTGTTCCAAGGCAGAAGGCATTCATGCCTCCAGGGATGATCCCCCTTGCTTCAACTCTGAATTCTTGGGGGGACCCCACCAACGTTTAGGGGGCATAGCCTTATTGCATCACAATTCTAGGAGTTAGTGGACCCCAGCAGCCCCTCAAGCTGGTTGTTCTGGAGAGGGGTTGGCTCTCTGAGCCACCAGTGCCCTTTCCTAGACATCAGCACCTGGGCCCCGCCTCCAGGGTTCTCAGAAGCTCTGGGACACACAGGTGGGAAAGATGGAGGCAGGTGCCTTGGGCAGGACCAGGGAAGAGCCCAGGAAGCCCCAGGGGGCCTGGCCAGAGGGAGTGTTGGTTTGAAAAGCAGAGCAACTGAAGCTGGGGCCGGCCTAGGGGACTCTTGCTTACGAGAACATTTACCAAAACCCACCTTACTTTTCTCCTTATTGGAAGAAAGAGAAACACTCATTGTACCAAGCTGTCTTCTGGTGCAGGTCTGCTAAGGATACACGGAAGTCTCAGCAAAGGTAAGAAACTATGTGATCCAAGGGCCGTCCAGCCCCTCAGCCCTGCCCATGTTAACTGACCATCACACTCATCCCCAGATCTCTAGCCCTCTCCCTGTCTGGAAGCTGAGGCAGCCACCACCAGTCAACACTTCAGGTAACAGCATCATTTGCCCTCCATGTGCCAGGTGCGGTCACCCAGTGTGACTCATTCACATTTTCAGGTCCATGACCAAGCCGAGGAATTAGAAGATTCTAGCAAAGCATCCAGAGACTGAATCTCCTTTCACACTGGGTTTGATAAACTCTGAATGAAGGAGACTCCCAGCCTCAGGAGGGTACCGGTTCTTCCAGGAGGGATGGGAGAGAGCCTGGCCCAGTGTATTACCACAGCCCTTGTTCCATCTCTGAGGGAGACGCAGACACAGCCGGGAAGGCAGTGATGCTCTTGGTCCCAGCCAGAAGCCAGGGGAGATGGGAAGTACACCAGAGCAGGGCCCGATAAGGGAGAAAATAAGGATGCTTTGGACCTCAGCGTCCCTGTCTTGAAAATAGGAAGAACAATTCATGTCCCTTTCCACCCTGTGGATAAATGAGAACCCCCAAGAGAAAGTTTTCCCAGTTTCCCAGGTGGTCCCAGCTAGAGCGTGTATCCCCTGAAGCTGCTGGGGCCCAGCTTGTGGGTCTCTTTGGAAGAAGCAGGACTGGAACAAAGGATGAAAAGGAGCTTCACATGGGTGTGAGAGGAGAGCTTGGATCACAGAAGGCTACCATCCCCGGCCTGGGCCCAGAAAGAGGAGGCAGCTGGGTTTACTCCTAAATCAGAGACTAGGAAGGGAAAGTCAGCTGGGACCATGGCTGCCTCCTGGGGAGAGTGACCCCCAACCCCAGCCAAGGACACGTTCAAGCTCAGTGTCAACACTCAGGCATGAACCTCCAAGGGACCAGTGGGGTGGGAGAGAACGGCTTCAGCGACAACACTCAAAGGAGGCACTAGCATTGTGCTGCTGGCCTGGGGGAAGGACTTGCTTGGGAGGAGAACTGCACGTAGGAGCTGGGGCAGGTGGAGGCAGATCCAGCCCACAAGGGCAGACCTCTAGAGAGGGGCCAGGCAGACGACAGGCAACAACCAAATGAGGTGAAGTTCTGGAAAGGTGCCAAGCCCCAGAGGAGTAAGGACCACTCTGGAAAAACATTCCAAAGCCCATTGCATACCTGTATTAGAGACCAGGGCATGATTCCAGGAATAAGGTGACCACATGTGTTCCAGACCCCAACCGATGGTGGGTGTGGTCTTCAAATGAAAGGGGGAGCTGAGATTTGGGTCTGGGCTGAGAGGAGGAGTACACAGTCGGTCTGATCTACCTCTCATGGTTCCATTGGCAAAATGATTCATCAGTCATCCTATCTTTTCCTGGCAAGTTCTCACAATGGCCTGTTAAGTATTTCAACACAGTGTCCCAGGTAGTCACTACCTGTAGATTAGAGCTGATGTGGTTTTCATCGCTGGCCTGGGGGTCTCGAGCTGGGCTTCAGGAAGAATGTGGTCAGGGCCTTCGTGGTGCAACAAGGTAGCTCAAGACCTTGGAAAGACCCCCTGAGGGTACAATGGTCCTTGCAGTTTCAGATAATGCTTTTAAATAAATTATCTCCTAATGATGGCTTCAGTCCTGCCACTCATGGGAGCATCAGCAGAACCTACAGGATCCGATTTGGAATTGACATTCGCTGTTGTCATTTTGTTCCTGCCTATTTTTAAGGTTTTGTTTCACTGGAAAGATAATGCTCAGTTTTAAATGTTGAAAGTATAAGAGTTGCTTTGTCACAATAAAACTACATATGTACACACACACCAAAAAAAATGGTCAGGATGTATTTATTTATTCCTGAAATAAACATTTACAGAATGTTTGGGCTAGGCAGTGTTCTAGGTGCTAGAGATGCAGCAGATACACGCCTTACTGGAGCTCACATTCTAGCAAAGGAAAATGGACACTTTAAAAAATTCATTTATTATACTTTAAGTTCTGGGGTACATGTGCAGAACATGCAGGTTTGTACACAGGTATGCACGTGCCATGGTGGTTTGCTGCACCTATCATTCCATCATCTACATTAGATATTTCTCCTAATGCTGTCCCTCCCCAGTCCTCCCACCCCCTGCTATCCCTTTCCTAGCCCCCCACCCCCGACAGGCTCTGGTGTGTGGTGTTCCCCTCCCTGTGTTCATGTGCTCTCATTGTCCAACACCCAGAAAATGGATATTTTTAAAAAGCAACACACAGCATCTAGAACCTGGGTGGCATACACACTAAGGAGAAAGCTAAGGCAGGGACGTGGGATAGTGAGTGCCGGAGGAAAGGGGCTGCTCTTTGCAAGCATCTGATCTGGCCTCCCTGATAGAATGATATTTGAACAGGGACCTGAATGGAAATCAGGGAGTGGCACAGACCAGGACTGGTTCAGGGAACCAGAAGGTTGGCCTTGATGCCAGGAGGACTCTGCTGTGCCCACCAGGGAGAGCAGGGCGGCTTCCAAGGAGTGCCATCTTGGTGTAGGAAGAAGGACAGGGGCTCAGCTATTCTGGTTCAGCCTTTGGTGTAAGGGAAAGAACTCGATTACACCAACGTATAGGAGTGACAGCCAGTATCGTCACCTGAATGTTGTAGACCCCATACTCAGGTGTGCAGCTGATATCACTTCATGGGGCCAGAGTCTCAGATTTCTACTTGACTCTGCTTAACAACCTGGGGTCTCTGGCCTCCTGCCTTTAGCCTCAGCATGGCCTCTGTGTCACTTGGCTTCCTGCTTTTCCAATAGGAATTCTTTCTTCTTCAGAAAAAAATAATCATAATAATTAAATTTGGGTTGCTTCCGCTTTAAGCCAATCATGCCCATTATTTAAAAAAATAAAAAACAGACAAAAGGATTAAAAATCTCCCCAATTTTGTCACTCAGACACCCCCTACTGTGGTGCATGTCTCTCTGGTCTTTTTCTTCTGTGCAAAGTTTTTGTTTGGCTTGATTTTTGCCTAGGTGTGATTATGCTAAATATACATTCAGTTTCTTCCTGTTTGCACTTAGCATTTCATAATAAGCATGTTCCCGTGTTATTACAAATCCTGGGTAAACATCATTCCAACAGCTGCACAGTATTCCACAGAGTGAATGTACCAAGGTTTATTTAAACGTCTCCCCTCCTGTTGGGCCTGTAGATTTTTGTTGTCTGTTGCTTTCTCTTTCTATCATAAATAAAATGTCCTTTGTTTTCTTGTTTCTATCTGGGGCCTTCATCAATATTTACAAGAGAATGTCAGTCTAGGTCCCGTCTGGAATAGCAGAGTGGTGGAAACCACCATGCGAGCCACAGCATTTGCCTGGGGCTGGGGTCCGGGCCCGTCTGTGACTGTAGGACGGAGCCGTCCTTGGAAGTGCCCAGCAAGAGAGGCCAGGCTGGCTGGAGGGGCCATTCAGGGGTACCACATTCACTGGGCCCCTGTTCTCCTCTGCCTGCTCTTATATTCACCTCCTCACTCATCCTCACAACAATCCTATTTTACAGGCGAGAAAACTGAGGCTCAGAAAGTTCACCGAAATTTACCTTCATGCAAAATCCAAAGACCTTCTGTTTTGTTAAAAGTGCTTGAATCCAAGGCCAGGCACGGTGGCTCATGCCTGTAATCCCAGCATTGTGGGAAGCCAGGCAGTCGGATCACTTGTGGTCAGGAGTTCAAGACCAGCCTGGCCAACATGGCGAAACTCCATCTCTACTAAAAATACAAAAAAATTAGCCAGGCACAGTGGCACACATCTGTAATCCCAGCTACTTGTGAGGCTGAGGAAAGAGAATCACTTGAACCCAGGAAGCGGAAGTTGCAGTAAGCCAAGATCAAGCCACTGCACTCCAGCTTGGGTGACAGAGTAAAATTCTGTCTCAGAAAAAAAGAAAAATAGGGGCTTGAATCCAGCCTCACTGCCTTGCATGCAGTACTCTCTCCACTCCTCTGTGCTGAGATGCTGAGGCAGTGGAGGCCAGGACTCAACATCAGCCTTGCCCCCAAGCCTGTCTCCACCCATGCTAATCAATTGTGCTTAACCTTTGAACTTTGAACTCAAAGAACATTTTCTTAAATTCTCTGATCCTTTTCTTCAGCATTGCCTGGAAAGAGGAAAAGAAGAAAAAAAATTCTCTGATCCTCAGTACCTGCATCTGTAAAATGGGTTTGCCACTGCCAGCCTCCAGAGGATGTTGTGAGAAGTGACGCAATAATACAGGGAAAGCACCCAGCCGGGGAGCTGCTCAAAGTACATCTGGTACCACCGTAGTCCACGCCTGTAATATCTGCACTTTGGGAGGCTTGCTGGAGTCCAGGAGTTCAAGACCAGCATGGGCAATGTGGCAAAACCCCATCTCCACAAAAAATACAAAAATTAGCAGGGTGTGGTGGTGTGTGCCTGTGGTCCCAGCTACTTGGGAGGCTGAGGTGGGAGGATCACTTAAGCCTGGGAAGCAGAGGTTGCTGTGAGCTGAGATCATGCCACTGCACTCCAGCCTGGGTGACATAGTGAGACCCTGTCTCAAACATAAATAAATAACAGTAAAATTAAAAGATTTTACAGTAGGTCTCAGAAGAACAGTTATCTCCAGCAGCGGGGCTGCTCTCAGCCAGCTCAGAGGAGGAGGGTTTCTCTTACCACCCCCACCATCCCCTGCTGTCTTTCGTCCTGGCCCTGGAGGAGGAAGGTTGAGAATTAAGCTGCAGCAGCTTCTTCTTGTCTCAGGTCTGGGGTGGGGGATGCTCAACATAAAAGTTACTCGTATTTTAGACCATCCAAGTTTTGAGACTGTGAGCCTCTACTCTGCTCTTCCAGGGTAGTTCAGGATTGACTGACAGGCTGATATGAGTTTCCTCAGGCTCAAAGCATTAAGCAATTTCCAGGGGGTGTCAGTCGGTGCTACAGAGCTTCAGAAGCTGCCGAGAGGCCCCTGGGAGCCCTGAGAAGGTACAAGACGGAGGGGGCTCCCTTCTTTCACAGATTGGGAAGAATCGCCACTTGGGGGAACTGGGAGTATGCTGGGCTGTGTCTGAGCTGCAAATATTTAAAGGCCACTGACAGAGGCATCCAGCACTTCCCATCTTTGTAATCCTTACTGGAAAGGGCCTTGTGGCCTTAGGGTGCCCCTCGGATCCCCCTGAAGCTGTGGCTTCAGCCAGGAGCAGCCCCTAAGCTGGGGCAGAAGGCGGGGGATGAAACACAAAGGGAGGAAGTATCTTCAGGGAGAGAGAAGAAAGGACCGCCTGGAGGAGAGTCTCCACAAACAGCTCTGAACCTCAGGTTTTTTGAAAAGTGAGATGTGGGTCAAAATAAAACAAAAATGAAAAAGGGATCAAGTCTGGGTTGCCTTTGTGTGTGCAGGGAGGAGACGCACATTTTTTACCATCCTAACAGAGTTCCTCTCACCAGGCTCGGCAGGCTCTGTGCAAATGCTTTCCTGTCATTCCCTCACTCTGCCCTCACTACGTCACTGTCTGACAGAGCAATTATCTCCATGACATACAGGAGAAAATGCAGACAGGACACGGGACAAAAATTAATTCCTATTGATTCAACGATTATTCATGATTATAACACCCCCTTTTTAGTGCTAAAAACCTGGAGAAATGTAATCATTGTCAATACATTTAGAAAACATGCGCAATGCTTATAGGAGCTTTACTTACATTGTCTCTGGCCAAATTCTCCCTTTCCCATCAATTTCTCCACCACATGAATCCGGTCATATGACTTGCTTTGGCCGCCATGGGCAGTAACAAACTTCACATAAGCAGAGGCTTGAAAATTGCTAGGGCATAGATGTGCTCTCTTGTGGCTCTTAGAAATCTCAAGACTGCCACCATGTGAACAAGCCCAGCCTAGGATGTGGGATGATGAGAGACCCATGGACCAGTTACCCCAGTTACCCCAGTCAATGGTCAGCCAAACCCCCAACCTGTGAGTGACCAGCTGACCACCCACAAATGCCTGAAAGAACCCAGCCGAGACTGGCAGAAGAACCAGCTGGCTGAACCCAGCCCCAGTTGCCAATCCACAGGCTCATGAGAGAAATAGATGGTTATGGTTTTAAGCCAGTCAATTTTGGAATGGTTTGCAACACCACAATAGGTAGGGGATAAAACAATCCTGTGATGTATCACCACTTGGCAAGTGAGGAATTTTAGAGTTCAAGAAAGTGAAATCGCATTCCCAGGGTCACACACCTATGTGATAGAAGAGCTGGGACATCCACCCCACACCCTTATCACCCAGGTCTGCCTGACTCCAAATCCTGGGTTCTTTCTCATTCAGCCTATATTCCTGGCTCTGGTCTAGCCAGATTAGGGCACTGGGGACCCTCCTGGGTGTCTGGCCATGGGGCTTGCTGCTAGACATCAGCTAGGTCTTTTCCAAGACCCAGGAACCAGTGTCTGCAGGGAGAAAGTTCTGAGCCACCTCAGAGGAGGATCTTCACCAAAAAAATCAAGAGATCAGCTCCTTGAAAAACAGTCGTTGATACCTACTGAGCATAGCCACTCTATCAGACAACTATCTTGGCACAGAGCACCTGTGCTCTGCTCCCAAGAGCCTACCAGCATTGCCTGGGGATTGTTGCTACCTAGAGGATCCCCAAATCAATGACTGGCAGGAGTTGGTGTGTAAATATCCCAGTTCCCTCAACCCTGGGGTGAGATAAATCCTAGGTTCATGTTCTGCACTGGCTCCCAGATTTCCTAGTTGGACTGAGCCCCAGTTTCTACTGGCAGCACCTACCTTGATAACATCCCTTTAAAAATGTCACTCCAGTCTTCTGGCTAGTGCTCCTACCTACTCCTCCTCCCTTTATGAGACCATAGAGGAGCTGCACCCTT